AGCGTAAAGTAAGCTTTGCTGCTTCTGCAAACCAAGCACTTCTGGCAAACTCAGATCCCTGTTCGGAAAATATTCTGTTCTGTCCTGCAATAAGAAAGACCCTTCAGGCTGCATCTGTATATCATTTCTGAATGTCAAAACAACATTTTCTTTGTTTTGCTGTCCATAAAGCCAAATGCCATTTAAAAGCCCAGCAGCCTGAAGGCAAGGATGAGAATAGACTCTGAGTGGCCACAAAAACATCCTGAAGTGTCATATTTTTTCACACAAGCTGAGAGAAACATAGGCAGCCCAAAGCCCTTATTAGACTTTGTGCTTTTGCAGACTAGTGCTATCAAAACAGAAGACAAGAAAGACCATGGTTACTCAGTAGATAAACTTGTGACAACTGTAAAAGGCAAGTTTCTCTTTGACTGCAAAGCAAATATGAGAAGTAGGACAAATATGGTGAACACAGTAGCCCTGTGAAAAGGAGGCAAAGCATACCCAAGACAATCAATTTAATTCTACCTGAAAGACATGGCTGATAATTTGCTTGGAGTCTAAGTTGATTAGCAAGGTCATTAGTATCCAACATACAGAGGAGTGACAGAGAAACCACTAAGGGGAACAGACTCTTCTGTGAAATACATAAGTCAGCCCTAGTTGTCTTCCTTTGCAAGCTGTCAACTTACTATGAGAAATAAAAAGGACTTTCCTTGTAAATCCAGAGTCACATATGAAAGGCTTCTGATAAAAGGCATCTCCACATGGCAGAAATCCATGGCCCCACAGATCTACATTGGAATTTGGTGCATCCCTCTGTGACTTACTCATGTGCCCAACAAAATGAGGAAGGTCCCCTCCTCTCCTTTCCTATAGGGTGCAATGCAGTTGGGAAAAATCCTTAATTTTGCACAGGGAAGGCATTGTCTGACTGTTGTGACCATCTTTTTAGTCATAGTGTTCAGACTTCTTTAAGAGTACACAGAAAGTGTTTGTAAAGAGGGCACATACATTTTACAAGTGTAAAGCAATTTTTCATTGTCTAGCCACACAAAATATTGCTAGGATTTGATGAAGAACTCAGATGAGCATCATGCTCACCATCCCTATAAGTCACTCCTCAGGAGTCTTTGATGTCCAGGAATGCATCAATCAGATGGGCTGATGGCTGGCCCCTGGGGATCCCTGGGACACAGCCTCTGTATTGCTACATTGTTTTCATTTCCCAGGTCAATGTACACACATAGCTCTGATGACCCTATCAGTTACCAGCTCTGGGGTTTTTTTCACTCTAGGGTTTTATATTTTTCCAAGCTGGTGCTCATCCCTTTGAATCCTTCAGCATCTGAAAAATGTATCTCAGCAAGCTTAGTTCTGTGATTGATTTTTCTTTTCTTTTTTTTTTTTTTTCTGTGGACTTTCTTACAATTGTTTCTGCCTTAGAAAACAAGGGAGCAAAAGGAGCTGCAGATGGACAGGGCCTCTGGAGGCAAGTTATGGTTTGCACAGAGAGAGGCATGTGTTTTCTGTCTCAATTTTGGAAGTAGCAGAGAGGAGAAAGGGAAATGTATGAACAGTATAATGATACAAAATCCCTCCTGATTTTTGTGTGCATCTTACAGCAGCAGAAGCAGTTTAGGCAGGTCTCAAGGGGACTCAAAAGGAGGTAGTGTGATACAGTTTTTGTGTGGAACACTATGGAAAAGGCCTGTTTCATGCCTGAAGTTTACTTTTCCTGGGGATAGGAACCTGGCTGCAAAGCATTACTCTGGCCACAGTGGCAAAACCATCAGGAATCACCCAGATCAATTAAGTCTCCCTTTCTAGACTGAGGTATTTCTGCAGCTCCAAAAACCAAAATGAAAGAAGAGAGTACATCATGACGCATAGAATCATAGAATCCTCAAGGTTTAAGGAGACTTTTGAGATCATTGAATCCAACCACTAACCTGCCACTCTGCTGTAACCTCTAAATCCTAAACGATATCATCCAGGGACCGATCCAGGCACCACTTCAGATCCAGGCACCACTTTCAGGGATGGTGACTCCACCACCTCCCTGGGCAATCTATTGCAGTGCTTCACCAGCCTAACAAGGAAAAAATTTTTTCCTAACATCTAATCTAAATGTCCCCTGTCTCAGCTAATAACTGAATGACTAGTCCTCTCACTGCAGACACGGCAGAAGTGACCAACCCACACCTCTCTACAACCCTCCTTCAGGCAGCTGTAGAGAGCAATGAGGTCACCCCTGAGCTGCCTCTTCTCAAGGATAAACAAACCCAATTCCCTCATCTGTCCCTCATACCACATGGGTTTTATGAGCTTTGTTGCCCTTTGCTGGTCTTGCTCCAGCATCTCAATGTCCTTTATAAAGTGAGGGGCCCAAAACTGAACACAGTACTCAAGTTGTGGCCTCATCAATGCCAAGTGCAGGGGGATGATCACTTCCCTGGTCCTGCTGACCACACTATTTCTGATGCAGGCCAGGATGCCGTTGGCCTTCTTGACCGCCTGGTCACACTGCTGGCTCATGTTCAGCTGCTGTCAACCAATACCTCAAGGTACTTTTCCGCTGGGCTGCTTTCCAGCCAGTCTGCCCTCAGCCTGTAGCGCTGCATGGGATTATTGTGGCCAAAGTGTAGGAACCAGTTGTGACCCAGCTGCAGGACCTGGCACTTCACCTTATTGAACCTCATGCAGTTGTCCTCAGCCCACTGATCAGGTCAGTCCAGGTCTCTCTGTAGAGCTTTCCTACCCCAGGCAGTTCAACAGTCCCACCCAACTCAGTGTCATCTGCAAATTTACTAAGGGTACACTCAATCCTCACACCCAGATCCTCAATAAAGGCCTTGAACAGGACTGGCCTCAATACTGAGTCCTGAGGAACACCACTAGTGACCAGCCATCAACTGGATTTAGCTCCATTCACCACAACTCTCTGGGCCTGGCCATCCAGCCTGTTTTTTACCATCAAAGAGTGCACCAATCCAAGCCATGAGCAGTCAGTTTTTCTAGAACTATGCTGTGGGAGACAGTGTAAAATGCCTTACTGAAATCCAGATAGACCACATCCACACCCTTCTCTTAATCCACTAAGTAGGTCACCTTGTCATATATTGGTCAAGCAGGACTTCCCTTTCATAAATCCATGTTAGTTGGACTTGATCCCCTGGTTGCCCTATATGTGCCATGTGATGGCACTCAGGATGATTCCTTTCAAGGCATTGATCGGACCTGAGGTTAGACTTGCAGGGCTGTAGTTCCCTGGACTCTCCTTCTGACCCTTCTTATAGCGTGGACGTAATAGGTTAATGCTTAAGTGTTCAGCAGTACCAGTGGTCCAGTATCCTGTATGCTGGGAAATCAGTAGGTAAGAGGCTTCTCCATAAAATTCTCCTTCATGTGTCATCTTGGGAGTCTGGAGTTCCTGCACGAGACACATAAGTAACCCCATGGGGACTCACAGACGAAAACACGCACCCGATGTTGCAGCTCAGTGTGAGATGATTCAGTCTGGTTTTGAGCAGTTTACATCTTTCCTGGCACTTCTGAGGTAGTTTCTTTATATATGTACTGTAAGGGTAGCTCTGGAGGGGAGGAGAGGAGGAAAGAAAATATGAATGTAGCTTGAGGTGAGCAGACTGGTATTTTTCCAAGGTAAGGCAGTTCAGGTTTTTTTATCTTGTTAAACAGTAAGTGCTGGGGGAAAAAACCCTGACAAAAATCACAAAACAAAACAAAACCCAAATAAAACAACCCTCTATGGTTTAGAATCAGAATGAATCAAAAAGCCCATGCTACTTCAGGACCGCAGTTTATCTTCTGGTTTTGGAGACCAGGCTTTTTGAATGTTGAGTACCAATAAAGAGTAGAATTGGCTACCTATCAAGTAGAGCAGGAGAGGTGGTAGTGAGATAGGCATTTGATGTGGAGGACAATGGCAAACACACAATGCTAAGGACATGATCAGAGTGTCCCTGCATGCCCAGGGAATTCTGTAGGTTTCGAATGCCTGCCAAGCAGCCTGCAACTGCAATATTTCCCACCCCAAAATACTGCAGACAACCATGTAAGCTCCTTAGGGTATGGACACAAGCAGAGACAACTGGGCATACAGTGAGCCATCCCTGCTGAGTATGAGATCCTCAACTCCTGGGAAGTGCAGGGCATGCCTGTAGTGGTGTTTGGGTACTGGGGTATCTGCACCACAGCAAGTCTGCAGTCCTGCTTCTCCATCCCTGCTGTGGCAGTAGCACTGCAGGGTTCTGCACCTGCAGGCTAACTGCAGCAAGCTGGGCACCTTCTGACTCCCCTAAGCACTTGGGCACCAACTGGGTGATGAGGGCAGCTTTGTTTCTGTTGTGAGTCAGAGCTGCTTCCCCATGGCCTCTGCATGCAGATAATTGAATCTTCAGACTCCTGCTCTGTGAAGGTGCCATGTGAGTTACCTCTCAGGCAGCATATCTGTCCTTTTTGCCATGTGCTAACTTCTGCCCAAGGTCAGCCCTTCCTTTCCTTCCAGTCTGAACTAAGCCACATAGCACTGACACTCCAAAGGAACAGCACTTCCAGCACTATTTCACCATTGCTCTGAAGTGGCAGCAAGTACAACATAAAATGTCTTCAACTACTGCATGCTGTGTGGTACTGGAAATCGTGTTGTCTTGACCAAGCAGCTAAAAGGAAAATCTTGTGGTTTTTGGTCAGGGGTTTGATTGTCCCCAGCAAGATAAGAGAAATCATCTATTATTTTATTTTTTTGTTGTTGATCAGTTATGGTAAACAAAGGAGGTCTGTAGGTTTACAGGATAGAAAAGAGTCATTATTGTCTGGGCCAAACAGTGCAGTTCAGGGATTTTTCACTGAGCTCACAATCTACCCTATAAAGGTTTATGTACCCCAAGAGTCTGGGTTTTCTGAAAAAAAACAGAAACTCTTCCATTGTAAACAAACTGTACTTTGAGTCTCATTCCTTCTCTTCTTTTCCTTTTCCATCCCCATTTTGTTCAAAGGATGAGAAGAATCAAGTGTTGATCACAAATGCTTGGCTGCAGATGGTAAGTAACCTGTGTCAATAAAGAAAAGAAACTGTCTAATAGAAAACTACTGAATGCAATTTCTTAGCTGAAAAGCAAGATTGCTGTCTTTTAACTTGTCTATAATGTGATATAAGCAAGCATTTTGAGTCCTTTCAAATTTCCCAAGTGCTCCACTTAGCATTGAAAATGAAATTCAGGAGACTGCAATTATCTTTTGGGCTGACCTGTTGACCTTTGGAGGATGAAATCAACTATGTTGTTAAGCCAGTGGATGTAGGGATCTAGTAACAAAGAGCCCAAAGTTAGGGTCCCATCATAGCTGAAGAAGAGATTCTTCAAGAGACTCAAGGACCTTTCCATGACCAGTGATGGGGACTTGCTGTGAAGGAGCCAGACACCCAGTAAGACCCACACACTGCACTCACCACTGCTGGGAAAATCCCCATCTTTGTCTGACGCTGGGAGGCAGGGGTGGATGGCAGGGTACAAAAATCCCCAGCAGTTGCCCCTGAACACAGAAGTGATGAAGCCTCAATGGAACACATGTAGACTGGGTGGTGGAGTGGCCAGGGACCACAGGCAGACCCGAGATGCACTGCTGCTGGCAGTGCCCAGGCATATCATTGGGAATGTTGCTTTCCCTTGTGCTTCACAAACCTTGTCCATAAACATTCCTCCTCCCTCTACTGCAACCTGCTCCAGCTGAGGATTCACCTGCACCGGTCCTGCAGGATATGCAAAGCTGATCTTCTCTAAGGTCTTTAAGTCCCATCAGGTCTGCGTCTAGCTGCCTGTGGTGAGGGACACTGTGTTTTCCTATGATGCGTAAACAGATCCCCTTAACAGCTTGTGCTCAGTAAAGATGCAGTTCTTGAGGGAAAAACCTGCGGGAGACTTGAACGATTGAACTAATTCTGCATTGACTTCAGCAGCCAAACACTATCTCATGTTAATGGGTTCAACTGAACAGGCGGTTTTTTCCTCAGCTACTTGCTGGGATTTGCAGCCGGAATGAGTGCTTTTCTATTGCAAAAACTAACTTAGACCAACCCGTAGCACTACAGGGTTGTTAGGTCACAGTCTGTGGATGTCTTGTCCTTTGCAGAGGTGTTCTTCAGTTATAGCACTGATAAGGGTTTCCCTTTCAGCCATTACACTGAGCTTTGCGCTAGTTCCAAAAGATAATTGTGTTGAGGGGGAGGAGAGTGGACCAGAAACAGCACCTCAGCATGTAAAGATCACATACCTACCTTTCCTGGAAAGGTGGTTATTAAACCAATCACCCAACCTTTGCAACACATTAAATTATTTCCACTGAAGAGGGACACCTACTATTAAGAATACCAAAGTAATTCAAACCATCTCACCTCAGAACCAGCACACCTCATGGAAGTGATTACTGACAGACTTCCTTCCAGACCACCAGAAAAGGCTTGGATGTCTCCATTCAGGCCACAAAGTGGAGAGCTAGATGCTAATGTATAGCTCACAGCCTTCAGTAGTCACACTGTTATTTCCTCAGTATATACACCAACCTTTTTAATAATTAAAGCTGAGTATTAAACTATTACCATGCCACTATTGCTACTGGCAAAATCCATTCTGTTCCCATAATATTCCAGACAATTTAGAAGACTTTTACAAACTCATGTAATCTGATGTATTTTTTGCCAACAGTCATGGGTTGATGTATACTTGTCTTGGGATCAGTATGAATACCCGGGGGTGCAGAACTTGCGATTTCCAGCCGACCAGATTTGGGTACCAGACATTCTTCTGTATAACAGGTAAGCAAGATGTACAATGGCTGGTGGGGGATTAGAACTAGGTGTTGGAAATCAGCTGTGCTTCACTGATAGTCTGGGCCTTTTGCCATCTGTGAATTTGGCTCTTACACTTGAAAGAGCAACAGGAGCAAATAGGCACCCGCTAATAGATTTTTCTTAATAGCTAATCTAAATCTTCCTTACTGCAGTGATGCAGATGTCATCCTTAACTTTGTCTGAGTGAACACAGAAAAACTATCCATATTCTCTGTATAATTACTATGTCTCTACTGAAAAATTATTGTCATGTATCTGTCATAGTGTTCCTTATTGAAGTAAGCAAAAGGATTTTCTTCTCACATTCCTCAGCATGTATTTTATAGATGTCTCCATCATTCCTCTTCCACTCTGAACCCTCTCTAATCTGTTTTTCCTCCTCCAGAGATGAGGAGGAAAGTGCTAGCTCTCTAGCCAGCACTTCTGCAGTGTTGAATGGAGTGGAAGGTCTTTACACAGATGTTTCCTTAGTGCTTTCCAGGAGGAGGGGATTCTGGGTTTGCCCTGATAACAGCTTAGACTTGGACTTATTTCTTTGATCTATTGTAAACCCCAGATGTTTTATGTCAGCCTTGAAGTCATACTAGAATTTCACTGATCTGTATTTCTGTGACAATTTCCAGGGTAATACCTTCTAATCGTCCAGATTATATTTCATTCTGTTAGTTTCCCCAGTTCATCAAGATCCATCTTCTGTTCCAAGACCTCACCACAAGATATCCAAAGGGGGTTTGGAGAGACCTGGATTGTTGAAGTGCTCTTCTTTACTTCACTTCTTTTCTCCTTACAGTCTGTTTATTCCCTGTCAGTCTCTAAAAAGGAGGCATACAACCTGGTCCATATTACTGCAGTTTATAAGAACATGTTAAAGTTCAGATATATCTCCTGCCTCCTCTTACTCTGTAAGAAAATTAGATTGATTGTATGCAGTTGGCCCTTCACAAATCTGTGCCAGATGTTTTCACCTAATTTTATTTGAAGTTAGGCTCATGTGTCTATAATTTCACCTTTGAAAAAAGTCAGAATTCTCTCTGATCTTCTGCAATTCACCATGCCCTTCCCTGTTCTCTGTGAGCTCTCACAGAAAGTTGTTAATGCTTCAGAAGGGTTTTCAGCCAGTCGTTTCTGTTCTCAAGAGTATATTTCATCAGCTCTGCCAAGTAGAATCCATCTTATCTACCTTTCTTTAGCCTGGTCCCGCCCTATTTTGTCATGGACTCCTTGCACTGTGCAAGAATTAATTGTTTGTGAAGAGCAAAGCATAGAGGGTGCAGGATACTGCAGCTCTCTGCACCTTGTTGTTTTCTTTCCTTCCACTGCAAGTGATGGATCGACCTGGTCCTTTGTCTTCTCCTTGTTTCCTTCTGTTTATAAAACCCTTTCTTGCTACCTTTTGTGTCTTTGTTAACTATCACTCATTCTGCACTTAACCTTTTCAGTTTTATCCCCTTTGTTTTGTGTTGGGGACAATACTGAGGTCTGAGGACTCAGGACACAGATACAGAGCAGATCACAAGAGGAATAGAGGGTCAGAATTTTATACATGTAGTTGAGAGACAGGGTGTGTAATGTGGTGTAGTCATGCAAAATTGACCTGCATGTAGCCACCACAGACAAAGCTCTACAAGCCAGGGGAATCACCCATAGTTACCCTCTTCCCAATACACCCTCTGGAACAAACCCCCAGACCTGCTCCTGTGAAGAATTCTTATCTCGTCTGGCTCATAACTCCCTTAATTTTCTCTGAATTGATGAAATAGCAAAGACATTCTCTTTTCTTAGTCCCTTTCACCTAGTTTTTCCTCTAGAATTTCAATGAATCTCATTCTACGAGCCCCCTAAAAATGACTTATCCCCAGTGTCTTCCTTCAATGCTAGAAGCAAACCCTTGTCCCCTTCGCATACCAAGAGACTGCAGAACTGTTACTTCAGGCCATCATGGCTGTTACCACAGATACCTAGGTAACAGTGAACTTGATATACGTTGTGAGCTGCATCGTTCTGACAGCTGCCCTAGAAAAGCCTCATTGTCCTGACTGTCCAGTTCTTGGATACAGCAATGTGACACTTTTGCTCCTTTCTGTTCTGCCTTTGTTCTGAGACTTCCAACACTCTGTCTCTCACTTCTCTGAGGACATTGCAGCATGCTAACATCCTGCTGGCATGCTACAATGTCTATGAGATATTTATGCAATGTCTATGAGAAACTGATACTGTTCAAGGGTGGACTTTTCACCAGGTGCAGGAACTTAATTCAGATATTCTGTGCATTAAATTCAGCCAAAATACTATTTTTATGTTGACAGTTACTACATCTTTACTCAAACATCAGCTTGCTTTTCCTTTGTTTTCTTCTGTTTTGTTTGTACTGTGTTACAGTGCAGATGAAAGGTTTGATGCGACATTTCACACAAATGTGCTGGTGAATTACTCTGGATCCTGCCAATATATTCCTCCAGGTAGGGCACAGAGAGCATTTGTTTGCTTTTAATCAAATAAGTACAAGCAATTTTCCTTCATGAATGAGACCAAAGTGTTTGGCAGCAGTCTGTGGAAATTTTGCAATCTGTGTAATTATGGGACTGACCTGCTGAGACAATTTAGGTCCATTATCAGTGTACCTTACCACAAATCAATAAAACATTCTCCTGAGCAGTTTGCCTAGAACATCCAGTGGCCCACCTGAGGTGGGCATCTAAAGCAAGGTGGTATGCACCATCACCTCCTATTTCATGTGCAGTCTAATTAGGTCTTTGTTGAGAGTGGAGTGGTGTGTGACCAGAGGAGACCTCAAGAGCAGCACTCACTGTCCTTTGAAGCCCTCCCTGCCAGGCTGAGGCTACAAATCCAGGTGAAAGGACATCCTGGGCCAGCCAGCAAACACACAACTGGTCCCACAGTTGCTCACTCTGTTAGACAAGAAATGCCAAAACTTTGTGTCATAGCATAGCGTAATCCCCAAGCCTGTCCACAGGGCCTAGCAGGAAACAGCAGAGTCTACCCTGATCGCTAGTCCACTGCTGTTCCCTATCCATCAGACTCCCTAAAGCATCCCATAAAGTGGGCTAGACACATCCAGAGTAAAAATCATGGCTTAGATTAACACACAGGCAACAAAGGCCAGCAGGGAGCAAGGTTTAGCACAGCAGTGTATTTTCAAGGGACTGTGGGTTTAATGCAGGGCCTGACCATGAAGTCCTTTCTAAAAGCTGATTGCACAGTACAATCAACCATTGTAAGTGGATATCTATGTACTCTGTGCTCCTGTCAGACCTCCAGCACTGCCTGTAATCTTCTGGGGCCAGACAGCACTGGGACAAAGGCTGAGTTGCTCCTGAATGGCCACAGGGTCCTGGGCAGTCTACATCAAGGGTGCCAGTGAATGAGAGAAGGGTCTTCACTGGTGCTCCAGGAAGGGCAGCAACTGCCACTTACAAGACTTGTTTGGTTACCCCATGACTATATTACACAGACTTTTAGGAGAGGAAATTTTCTCACAACCAGTCAGACAGCTAAGGGCAAGATGAAATGCACCCTGCACATACTTGATCGTGACTGATATCTATCCACAGGCATTTTGAAGAGCACCTGTTACATTGATGTCCGCTGGTTCCCTTTTGATGTGCAGAAGTGTGATTTGAAGTTTGGCTCCTGGACTCACAGTGGCTGGTTGATTGACCTGCAGATGCTCGAGGCTGATATTTCCAACTACATTTCAAATGGAGAATGGGATTTAGTGGGTAAATTGGCTGTCCTAAATGTTTCCAATAGTCTGATTTTCAAAGGCAAACCCCAAATATAAAGAATTCATCAATCACACTGGCACATGAAATACAGATATTAAAAGTTTATGTGTAAGAAGAAGCAAAAAATAAAAGATTAAAACAAATCATGTGTCAGAGACAGCCTTTCAGCCACATTCATTGAACTGTGTCTGCAAACACTGTGCTCTGAAGAAATCACCTGCCATGGAGTACATAAATGAAAGCTACTAGTCTCGATGCTTCTGAGCATTTTGTCAGTACTATACTTGGATGTGTCTCATGTGGGTGCATGGAACACTACTGTCACATTTACTCTAACATATCAGCAAAATTGATTGATGTAAAAAATGTTTCTGAAAAACTTCTACATATATGAATCTCTCTCACTCAGGAAACAGCTGAAGTGTCTACCAGTTCATAATAACTGCAGATTAGTATGTCTCTCTTCTCCTCTGTGCTTTGGAAGATACATGTATTTAAAAAAGAACACTCTTTGCTCAGAACTAGGTATTCAGAGTGAGCTTCTAGTGAGTTATTTTGAGCTCACTTATGCAGCTATAAGTCAGAAGCAATGCTACAGAAATGTATGGAACTTGGATGACCCTAAGGAGAGCTTGCAAAAAACAGTTTTTTTCTTCAAGTCTGAATACGTAGACAAGGAAATAACTACCCTGACCAACTACATGCAGTAGTTTAACCATTCAGGGCATCCAAGAAATAATATTTAGTTTCATGAGAAGTCAGAGGTCTCTGCAGTTAAGTTCTCCTGAAGTCCAGCTATTTCAGAGCACTCCTGACTGTCCAGTGCTTCTTTATAGGGATTATTTCTGTCCAATAACTTTGCATATCTGAGTAAGAGTCTGTGATTTATCAGCCTTCAGCCCTGACCAGGGGTGAACAAAACAGGGACTTATCTAGCTCATACTGCAAAATCATAAAGTAACACCTCAGGCAAGCCATGACTATATCCTTTATGAAGACTTTGCTACTCTTTTTGCTACCTTTTTGCTAAAAATGTACATGTCAACACATCTTCTGTCATGTCCCCAGAAACAAAAAAAGAGGTGAACAATTTTGGCTTGAAAGGTACAAGATGCTGAGTTTTTCCAGCTCCCCTGACATTTCCTGTGCTGCTGCTGCTGCTGTCATGCAACATCTCAGGTTCAACATGGCCAGCCCTGCAGCTTTATTGTGCAAGTATGTCTCTTAACCTTAGATATGACAGACTTTTAGCTTAAACTGATGCAGGTTTTGAAAATTAACCTGTATCCTGTTTGTTTTTCCTGGCAAAAAAAAAAGAAAATATGTATAAAAGAATGACAGAAAAATAAGAAGCAGTGGCACTTGTCACAGGGAAAATCTGCTGCATGTGCTAATGGGTATGACATCAGCAGTTTATCACCATTCCCAGGATGTAGAAAGGCACAAAGCACGTTTTTCTTGTTGAGTTTGGGATGCTCAGGACTGTTTTGTTCTGGCCCAGATGAGCTGTCTTGGCTAAGCTAAGCTTGAATAAACCCTAGAAAACACTAAAGGTGGACTAGGAACAGCAGATGGAGGTGACACACATTAGTTCATAAACCATCAGTTCTTGGCCCAATCCAAGAACATAACTAGGAGTCCTGTACCTCTCCCTACTGATCTCCCTCTCTGTAGGTGTCCCAGGAAAGAGGAATGAGTTGTACTATGAGTGCTGCAAAGAACCATACCCCGATGTGACATACACCATCACCATGCGTCGACGTACCCTCTACTATGGCTTGAACCTACTCATTCCCTGCGTTCTCATATCTGGCTTGGCACTGCTTGTTTTCCTTTTGCCAGCTGATTCAGGGGAGAAGATTTCTTTAGGTAAGTGCTAAAGAATTCAGTTATTTTGTATGCATTCTCTAAACCAGAAAGTAAATACCTCCTGGTGCTGTGGTGCTTGATGAACAAGTATTTCATTGGAAGGGTAATAGAAGTACTCATTTGGTTGCAGAAATAAGGATAACAGCTTTCTGTATTGAACTCACACATCCTGTGCTAAACACTTTCAGATTTTAACATGGAAGGAGGCTGAATTTGTTGCTGGCACAGGCAGCAGTAATAGTATTCTGTCATGCCTGTTGTTGTGTTATTTAGTATATCTCAATGCATTTCACAGCTAATTAACTCTGTTTTTCAGATAGGACATACTAAGACACAAAGAGTGAAGGGTGTTGGATTTTCACCTTCCAAGTTCAGATCCCAAACCACCAAGCCACGAGCCCCTTATGAATGCAAAACAGTGACAGCCAAGGAAGAGCTTTAGAGGATTTGCTGTTTTGTGTGTTGATAAAAAAAGGAAAGGTTCTTCCAAGAGAAGACAAGGAAGGGCTGGGAATACACTAAACTGGCCCAGATGAGATCTTAAGAGTTAATTGTGCAAGATTCTGTCTCAAGACAGAGGGTTTGAAAGTATTTGAAATGTATTCAGTATTAGTACAATAATCACATGTCTGAGCAGCCTGTCTTACAAGAAGCAAAACACAGGCTATGGGGGAAGGTACAATTGCTGTCTATGAAATGCAGGATGGAGACAAGGAAAAACCTATCTGAGATGAAGTAGAATGTTGACAGAAATATAGGACCTAATGTTCATGCATTGACCTTGTGATTTCTCAGCACCAGAACAATTTGGTTTAGCAACAACCTTTCCACACAGAACACAGTGCTTGTTAAAAACAGGCTGCAGATATTTGGGAGGTGTTACATAATATGCAGTAGCAAAAAGCTAGAGTCTTGTCTATGCAAGTGTCTTCTAGCCATTTAAAATCATCTGGGCTTTGTTTGTGCTGTGTTTTGAAAAACCAATGTAGTTCAGTGGTTCTGCAGGCTTCATTTCAGTGGGCAGGAAAGATTTCCCCATTACTTTAAGAGTAGCAAGGATTTGTGTGCATTTGAGAAAACTGAAGAAATAACACACAGATTTGCATCCAAAAATGCTCTCACTTTGTGGAAGTTCTCATCTGCATTGACAGACGTGAAGTCGTGTGTTTGGCTTAGCTGTAGATCAGGACAAAGTTATATTTAACAGCAAAGACATCAGAGGAGCAGCTGCAGAGTTCATGTTCCTCATCCTTCTGTCCATGTTCACTCCCTGCAGGTATCACTGTCCTTCTTTCCCTGACTGTATTCATGCTTCTTGTGGCTGAGATCATGCCTGCAACTTCTGACTCAGTCCCACTAATAGGTAAGTTGATTTTTGCTGCTTTGTGCACAGTGTATGATGTTCAAAGTTGTTCAAAGCCAAATTGAGGACTGACTCTTTCTTACTCTAGTTTTGCATTTAGCAATTGGGGGATACAGAAAGGTACTGGAAATATCAAATAAGCTGGTAACTGCAAGAATTGAGAGGACTCAGAATCAGCACTGGAGAAATTTCATCCTTCTTCTGCATCACCCCGCTTCCCTGATGTTATGCAACTCTTCCTTTCTTCCCCCTTTCTCCTCATTTCTCTATCCGAAGAACAACTCAGGATACAACAGTCAAAATTCAAATATATCCCTGGAGCATTTTTAATATGTGTTGAAAACTATGGTACATATCATCATCTTGGAAACATGAGCCAGGCAGTCATTGCTGCATCCTGTGTTTTTATAGGGCCATCCCTTTACCTTGATCTCATGGGACCTCCATTTCTCAGCTCTGAACTGGAGACTTCATTGCAGAGAAAGCAAACCTATTCTATTTTAAAAATTAAAGAAGAACGAACACAGGAAAATCTATGAGTGCAAATCAGGACTAAAGTACACATTCCAGAGAGTGGAAATGAACAAAATATTCAACCGTATATCTAGGTGCTGGTGGAAAATGCATCTCACCATAGTATTATTAAAGCCTCATGAAAGTTATATCAAAAGACAAAAGAGCATTTACTCAGCCAATCTCATTATCTCCTTTCAAGGATTAAAATCTAGATCTAACTCTGGGGAAGGAGGATGAGCATGCAACAGTAAGGACAATGACACCATAATGGGGAGTTTCTTAGAGCCTCCAAATAACTTACACATATTAGTGAAAGTCAGCAGGATTCTTCACTCTGAGTCATACCAGAGCTTCCAGAAAAGTAAACATCCTGTCTGAACATGTACCCAGGATACAATGGAGACAGATACAATTCTAAGAGATACTTTGTACGGAGAAGACACAAGGCATCTTGGACCACTGTTCACATAAATTTTGCTCTGTGTAATACATAACAAACACCATTTGAAATTAGTAAAGGAGCACAGTTTTTTTTTTTAACCAGAACAGTTTCTATTAACACATTGTGCTGTCACTGAGGGTAAGACTTGTGGAATAACAGATCAATTTCTACTTATTAGAGCATTGCTAAAATTGATGTAAATGACATCCACTGCTTTCACCTTATCTATAAGTATTGTAATTTATTATAGAAAACAATTGTGTTGGTCAGATATGATTTATCCTTGTTAAGTGCTGGATGGCTGTTCCCAGTCCCCACTCTCTCCCTCAACTGCCCAGAAATATTCCCTGAGATTTCACTCCCTGATTTACCTAGGGACAAAAGTCACAATGACAGAGTTGTAGTCCTCTGGATTGTCCTTTTGGACATTTTGCAGATGGATGCAACATCTGTCTTCTCCTACTTGTTAAGGATCTTACCCCATCTTCATGGTCTTGCAGTGATACCTGTATGGGGACACCTGTGTGCTCACATGGATTTGGGCAGGTTCAGATCTCACAATCAGTCTCTGGCTCCTTCCTCATCCACTGCTAGTTGTTTTCCTTATCCTTGAAACATCTGTAAACACCGAGACATAGGAGACCTTGATGGTGAAAAGTGAGGCAAAGTACACACTGTCTTGGACTTATCACTGTTCACCGTCACTAAATCATCCTCTCCATTCAGCAGCAAGCCCATATGTCCCTTGTTCAGCTGTTTGGGTAGTGGTAGAAACTCTCCTGTTGCCATTGATACCCTCACTAGTCTCAATTCATGTGCTTTAACATTACTCACACCAACTGCAATGTCCAGGCAATGCTTCCAAATTTTCCTTCTGCAGTCTGTCCCTGCTCCCTACAACACCCCTCATTTCTGAACTAGAGCTCTACCATGAGTTCCCAGTCTAGCCATGCTTATCTGATGGTGTGTTTACTTATTTCTTGCACTTTGAGGCTGCTGTACTTTTAGCTTTTGCAGTTTTCTTGTGCTGCTTTATCTGTAAGAGCATCCTCCAATGGGTTCCCAGCTGTAAATTCCCTAAAAAATGAGAAGTCTGAAGTTCACCTGAAATTCAAGGTCTACACACTACTGTTCTCATGCCTCACTCAGAGTCAATTGTTCACAAGCTCTGGTTGTCCTGTCCTGTACTTTTATCAAGAAATTATTGCTGATGTTGTGACAATGAGGAACTGTGATACAGAGGTTTCCTTGAGTTGTTTCAAGAAGCCCTCATCCCCCTATCTGCAGTGTTTGGATGGTCTATAAGGCACTCCCATCACTCCTGTTGACTTCTTCACTGAATTTGACCCACAAGCTCTCCAGCAGTTCCTGTCCATCCCAGAGAGGAGCCCCTCACATGCAAGTGGCTCCTTCCTATGAAGAAAGAGGGTAATCCATGTTGTCTTCACTGTCTTCTCCCCCTGAAGAGCCTGTACCTATGCATCAGAGCACTCCAGTAGTGAGAAATGTCCCTTCACATCTCAGTTTTCCAGCAATGTTATTTTTTTCGTGACTATATGCACAGTTCCAGCTGGTCCTGCATATTTCCCCGACTTCATGCATTTGCTCACTTTGGAGGTGAGCTCCTTCACCTTGTTTCACCATTCTTGAGTTGTTTCTTGCTCTGGTCATCCAATACCATTTTTTTCCCCACTGTTGTCTACTGTTTTTCCATTTACATTTGGGTTGTTATTTCCCTTCCACAGTACTCCTCCTTTAAAGCCTTGCTTCTAACTCCTTGCTCCACTCCAAATAGGCAGGGAAATTGTTCACCCGTTTGGCTTCTTCAAACAGCCCTTCACCCACATAGCCCTTATTCAGCAAGTGCTCAGATCTGGGCTTTGTGGTTTTACTTGATCTTGAGTTCTGAAAATGTTATCCTTACTCTAGCAGGGTAGCACAGCATAATCTGTCCACAGTGATCTTACAGGTGGTCCCAAATGGGATATTTTAGCTGCTGAACTGAATATGCCAGGTCATGATCGCAGTTTTTTATTTTGATTTTTGGTCCAGTTAAAATCCTCAGAAACTAATGTGAGGAAAAGGAGTACTCTTGGACAGTTCAGTCATATTTTGGAGAATCAGCACAGTTAGTGCCAGTTTACAAGAATAAACAAATTATCTAAAGCATGTGACTCCTGAAGGATGCAATTTGATCTTGAAGTAGGAAGAGCCATTGCTGGTCTGCAGACAAGCCACTGTTGCTGGTCTTCATGCATGTGGGAGCAGAGATGCTTTGAAAACTTGACTCTACACATTTTAAAAATCTGCATTATATTCTAAAGGTCTGAGTTTTTAAAAACAAATGTGCATCCACATCTACCTGGACCTGGATGAACCCTTGCAGCCTTTGCTGGTTCAAAATCATGAACGCCTAACAAGCTGTACCTCTTATTTTCTGTTTCTTCTGACCTCAGCTTTAACTACTGAACCATAATAACATGGGAAATTCACACAGCTGCTACTTGGAGTGTTATTGTTGAGGGAACAAAGGAGAACTAGTCTAATATGATACCGAGAAAAGTATTAGCTTTGCAGTCTGGAACATATTTACAAAGAAATGTGGAAATCATTCCTCAGTTCCTTTAGTTGAGGCTGCTCTACCCTGATCTCAATTTATACTAACAATAAACAAAACATCTCTCGGACTAAATAACGAGAAGGATGCAAGTGGGGACAGACACTTCCTTTTTTTGTACCTTTGCAAAGTGAGTCCTCCCTTCCTTGGTATGTTCTCTGAATTCTTTGTCTCTTTGTAAAACTGCCCAAAGCAGAGACCCTCTTACTCCACATATCCAACTTCCTCACATGATAGGCTCCTATTTCTCAGTAGCCTACTGACTGCCGTGTTAATACATGTGAAAAACAAGTGAAGTCATTTCGACTTTGAGAGTAAGTGACAAAACTTGGCTTAGAGATCAGCAGCAGGTTCCTCAGCACCCTTGAGCACCAGGACCCTGCTCTTCCTCCTTGCTGCTGCGTGACAGGTGGAGTTTTCTTTTCCACAGTAAGCCAGCCAGCCACTTTCTGTGACAAGAAATGTTCCAATTGGACAGGCTGGGTCACTACATTTGTCCCCTACTTTCATTCAGCTTTCTTGGGGTTTGCATTCACAGGCGTAGCTAGCTAGTCCTTGCCCAGCAGCATGTCTGTTCCCACTCTTTCTCCAGCACACCCTCTCTTTTAGGGAAACCAGACATTTTCAAAGCCCAGTTTCCAACACCATGCTCATATGTGAAGCAAGGCACCACAATATTTCAAAAGTTGAATCCTGCCCTTCTGATAGCTCATCCAAGATGCCAGAGAAAGGAGAAGACTGAACCAGAGAAATGTACCTTTGATTCTACTTAAAACATTAACCACCCATAACACAGCAACCAGCTCAGCTGTTTAAATCAAAAGCATTAAAGTCCCATGACATCTAGAAACACAACAGTTTGGCCTGAATCCAACACGAGTCAACTATATGAACAAGGCTTCTTTCTCTACATGGTCCTTGGAGTCCCTCCTGGCATTAAAAACCTCTAGAGTGTATCTCCTAAAATACTTCCAGACCATGATATACAGCAACAGCTTTGGCCTAAACTTACCCTTCCTTCTGTAGCTTAATCATGCCTCATGGGATGTATGTCTTGCTACACTCGTAATTTTACCTAATTCTAATTTTTCTCTTTAAAATTACTTTTACCAAAGTCCATGTAAATAGGCAGATAGAGTTAATTACTTGAGGAAAGTATATACAGAAACAGAGAACTTCAAATGTGTTACTCACCTAAGTTACAGGTCTGAGTGCTCTAATCACTGAGTAAAATCATAAAGCCTGCATGATACAGCTCAGGTATAGAACAACTGTTCGGTTTCTAACATTCTATGCAATTATGCACAGATTTGCCTCACACTATAAATGGTAGTAATTAATTGAGAATTCCATGCACCTTCCTGTCACTACTATTGCACCCACTCCAGTGCATTACATAAGAAGGGATCCCCATGTACCAAAGTG